ATAATGAACTAAGATGCTTTAGCTATATCAATTCTCAAGCTTCTGATTATGACTCCGACTCTGTCTACCTTGCTAGTGCGAGCCTTTAATGACTTGACCTAATCCTTTTGAAGGGTGGTTTTCACTCGTGACAAAGTCAGGGTCATAGTCAGAGCACTCATCACCTAGTGAAAATCAAAAATCAGAGTTGCAAGGGAAGTCATAACTAGAAGCTTGATGGAATTGGAGTCATCACAACTTTCTACTCTTCAGATTCTGCTTATGATGTAGAAAACCAGATTAAGCAGGGGTGTAATCGTCGAAGGATAAACCACTTACCAGTCAAAATTCTTGTTCCCATGTGTTATAGTTTTCACTAGATCGAAAGTGAAGGAGTCATAATTGGAGTTAGTGTTATATCTAGATCAACACTCTATGCTTTTGATTTGTACAGTTCCGTCTCTGTATCTTACTAGTAAACCAGCCCAGCCCTTAATGACTTGGCAAATGTTTTAAACTATATTTTACTCCACAGATATTATGTTTAAAAAATCTTGCCAAATCTTGGTCTATAAGAGTAAAAGAAAACTTCCATGAAAAACATTTTGACAATTTGGCTACACCTTGCAAGGTTGTCCTGAGTTAACATTCAGCAAGAACTGAGGTATTTGCCAAGTCATTAAAAAAGGGAGGAAACATTGACAAGTGTCTACCCCAGTCCATTTTCAAGCAATGCCTGATCTAGAAAAGTCAAGATGGCTTTGCATTGGGTGTATGATACATTAAATACACAAAAACACCCGAGCAATATTTTCACTGCATCAATCTTCTTCTGAGGAAACTGGCAAATAATGCCTCCCTTTGTCACAACAAAATCCTGAATTTTCCTGTCAACATCTGCATCCCTCTGCAATAAAAACAAATGTTGTAATTTTAGAAATGATAAAAACAATAATCAAAACACAACAAACAGTGGGTACACATAAAAAGTCAGTATGGTCATAACAATACTATTGTCAAAAAAATGTCGGTTTAATTACTTCTTTCCAGTTTTCAGGTATGCATGTATGGTATACTGTATAAATTGTGGTTTGTTGAAATTATGCTTCCTTTATGTTATGGGAAAAAGAATTCACACATCATTGAGGAGGTAAATACAGTGTGCATGTCCTGATACAAGAAGATTCTTTTAGTACATGTATTTCTCACCAATCAAGAAATTTTGCAGCTGTAAATCAAAATTCATCAAGTATTATGTAGCCATCATTATTCTGTGAGATTTGGTGTAGTCTGGTGACGGGAATGGCCCCCAAGGGATACCTTCAGAACAAAAGCTAAATTGCATCTCAATTTTGTCTGACTTCCACTTGTATCTGGGCTTCCCAAGCATTTAGGGTTCAATGTACAGTTGAGTTTGTAGCACTCTTGTGGTATTTTGTATCACAATATCAGGAAAAACATTGTATTCCCAAAACACCTACCTCTACAATAGTGATAAATTCCTCCCAAAGTCCTCTTAGCACTCCGATCAATGCCGCAGAACCTTGTTCACTACCAAAAGGATGCCCGCCTTTCTATTTCTGCCATAGGAGAAATGTTATTAAATTAAAACTGGTTGACTTGGAGCACCAGGTTTATTTACACACAGTTCTGAGTAATAATAATAATATTGTGGGAGCAAATTGACGGACAGACCCTGTTACCTCAATCACACCTGCAGAATTCTGCAACCTAAAATTCTATTTCCTAATTTTATGTATAACTTTATTATTATAATTCACATTATTCTTTCAACCCTTTAAGCCTTAAGAGTGATCAGCATCAAATTTCTCCTTGTAATATCAATGCTTTGTAAAACAGATTGTTCATGAGAATATTATGGACATGATCACACAATTTGCTTGATATTTATCAACTTCTTCCCAATACTTCTGTAGGAAATGAATAGGGGCAACAAATGGGCATTCAAATTTTGATCTTAGGGTTAAAAGGGTTTTAAATTTCTCTATTTTTAATGCATTTATTTTGCACTTATTTATCAGACAAGAGAAATAACGCATTGGTAAGGTAAACCTTACTTTAAACAAAACAAGTACTGAAATCTACTGTGTAAATGTATAACCAGACCACACCATCCTTACCATCTTCTTTAGTTGAAATGGCTTTAAGGTTTTTTCATTAGATATGTTTATCATTCTCCCTGTTTTAAATAGGGGACAGTGAGGGGATGGAAGAAGTGCTTTTTAACTCCTCCACTGGCTTAACTACAGAATACAGGGTCACTTATTTCCTTATCATTAGATAATAAAATTAAAAGCGTCTAATGACCCGTTCTTCAAAGCGTTCCAACAAGGTGGACTTGAGTGACCCTGAATTCTGTTTCATCAAACGTGGTTAAAATAGCTCAGTCTTTTGCATTTGGTAGAAAGAGAGCGAATCAGGGCGGCTTACCTGGTCTTACTATCGGCTTTTTCCAGCAAAGTCTTGATTCTTGGAGAGCGTTTGTTATTATAATTTTGTGCAGTTCATCTTGAAACCCGTTGCGCCTCACGAGGCTTCTGTCTCCGATTCTTCACGACGAACTTCAAGAGCGAAGTGATGGATCAACGACGGCTCATAGTTCGAAAATAATTAGTAACAACACCTTGAATGTCCTTTGATGCTGTCGAGAAGTATAATACAAGACTCCTGATCCCCAAAGAAACTGGCATGTTCGTAACCGTTGCAGTACTTTCAAACGGACGCCAAAAGGACACCAAAGAGCATGTGCAAAGGGACAGCCCGCTTACCAGTTGTGTATTGTTTCCAAAACATGTTTTCGATTGTTTACATGTCGTGTCATTTTTAGACTGTGGCAGGCGTTCGAAATTCAGGAAATTTTAAAAACCTTTTACTTATGAATCAGAAAATATATGTACATGATGGCTGGGTCTTTGTTTGCTATCAATACCGAGGGATATTGTACTGTAACGCCCTCCCAGCGTTTAGTTTGCGTGACGCATCATGTAATGTTATCGATATTGAAATCACGTGCAGAACATTCGGGAGCGTGATTGTAGCTTTGTTTCCGATTTGCACCTTCGCTCGAGGCAAAGGTTCGCTCGAAACCATGATTTACCTTACAATCTCTGACTGTCGTCACGGTTTTAGGTCTAGGTTAAAGTTATCTTAGTTCCTTACTCGACTAAACGGACCGTACTTTGGATTGTGTCAGACATGACTATGCGATGGTTACTTCAACCTAACACCGCGGTCTCCTTGCGCCCCTTTTGACGGCAAAAGGCGGTCGCTCCGAGTAGACCTTGTTGGGGCCAAATCGGAATTTTAATTTGGCTATCGGAAGGGCCAAATTGAGAGGAAGTGCCAAAGTAGCTTTTAGTGTAGCCGATTCAGAAATTCGATGGGCCGAATTGGTACCATCTAGAACTGTTTTGACTCTTTCTGTCCAAAACGACCCAGCATGTTCCAAATCGGCCCTCGAGAAATTGGGGCCGATTTGGCCTTTGGGGTCGATTTGGCTCTTTTCATTTTACAGTGTATGTGGTAACGAAAGGTAAAATTTTCTTTCGCACTTCATTGTTCTTTTGTAAAGCTGACTTTAACCTCAGAGGTGATTTTTTCTATGAGATTGTGAGGGTAACCTCTAGCGCTAAGGCGGTTTTTGAAGTTGTAGATGTTTTCATAGAAGGATTTAGCAGAGGAGTTAGTTCTCAGGAGTCTAATGGCTTCGCCCTTTATGGGACCTTTGAGGGTTACTGGAAGAGAAATGCGTGTATTGAAAACTCTGTACTGTAGGTTTAAAAATGTGTGCGGATGTCAAGGATTCCTTGGTTGTTTGCCTGCGTAGCAAGCGTTTCCTCGCGAGGTTCCTCTAGAAAGCTGGGACAGGAGAAAAAAAAACATGAATGACGGGGGAGGGGGAGGGGAACCTTTTTTTGCTTTCGCTCTAACTTTCGCGCAATAACTCGATTGGAAACGCTTGCTACGCAGGCTACTTGGTTGTGAAATCTCCTTGCCCAGTATTGACTCGAGATTGAAACAAGTTTTTGTTTTTTTCCGGCCCCCTGAGCTCGTCAACTTTCGCCTAAAATCATTGTTAGAGACAACTTTCGCACAAAGTAAACAAATTTGCTCCTTCGGTGATGGAGATACACACACACGTTCAATAGATTTAGTCGGAGTGGAATCAGCACATTCTGCCATTGAAGTCAAGGACTCGCAAATGAAACCTGAAACCCCAAATGCAAGTCACGCCACTCTCCATTTTTGGCGCGAAATGCAAATGAAAACCCATCAAGCGAGACAAGTCGACCTCTCGCGACTTCGTCGCTCGAGGGCGGCCGCATCGCGGCCAAACAAGGCTCGCTCCGCTCGCCAAGAGGTCGACTTGTAGCAAGTCTAGGCTACCTGTTCCTGTTGTTTCTTTGGATAATGTCTGTAAATAGCTGAAAATTGCCCAACTTATTCAAGTAAACAAGCTTTGATAACTTTTGAACTCAATATTAGTATACGCTGATGCCCTCTATTGGTTAATTTGTACCGCTCGTGCCGCAAAAATTTAAACAACTCAACAATGTACGTCAGAAAAATTTAGCCTATAAAAGCTGTTGTAAACGGTGCCACGATGTTCGTGGTCCAAGCACGCATCCGCAACGAGGAGCCTCGAAGCACGTACAAACCGCAGGAAGGTTGACAGTTTTAAAAACCAAAAAATTCCGCATTTGCTCTGTTATCAAAACAACAAAAGGAATCACAAAAGATATAAGGCCATTGGCGCCATTTGTATATTACAGCACGGAGCTCCGTGCACGGAATTCAAAATTCATCTTGCAAATTTGGAAAGAACTCGTTAGTTAAAGCAATATGTCTTGTGATATAATCAATCTGTATGGAAAGTAGAATCTAAGTAGAAACAATGTTAATTTTAGCACTTGCAACCTCCTCATCCGCGACCGTTGCTTAGAAAATAATTGCCTTTTTGATGAATGAGAGGGTCATAACAAGAAAAGAAAAAACTGACGAATTAATTTACATTCCTGACACGGTGCAGAGAAGTGCAAAGTGAAATTTGTTTGTAAAGGAAATATATGCTTCATTTGGATGATCTACCAGTAGGGGGAACGTTTAAATCGGACAAGTGAGGCCGCACAGCAACCTTTTCGACGGCCGTTGATTATTCATTCGTAAAGAGGTTACGCCATGAATTCAAGAACGATTGAAAAATTTGAAGTGAAACTCCAAGATGTCAACAAAGTGTTTTGTCCAGGCGATACCATCTACGGTCAAGTAAATTTAAAGGTAAAGGAGGATTTGAAAATCAAGGAAATGCGACTGGAATGTCGCGGCGAAGCATATGTAAATTGGCCTGAATATTCTGGGAGTTACACCAGATACCACTATAACAGAGAGAGATACTTCAACGCGATAGAGGTTATTTTTGGAGAAGGTAAGCTGATTTACTTCCAATATTTTTGTGATTTGTCGTTCGGCGGTGGTCATATGATACTGGCTTGACCAAACTAAAATGCGGTCAGATTAGACTCTGATTATCTTGGGAAACAGTCCTTCTAATTCTATTGGTGATTGCAATATGGCTCCAGCTGTAACTGTGAAGCCAAGCGAGACTTAAAAGGTCATATCAATAGATGCAAAATTTTAATCCTCTTTGCGATCTGCAAACATTGTAAGAATATCCCATCAATCGCTTTGAAATTGTAATTATTTGGAGTGGTCAGTATTAGCAGAATTAGAAGCAGAATGAAACGTTCCTTAATTATCAGTATAAGATAGCATGACACAAGGAACTTAAAACGGGGGAAATATAGCTAGGTAATTAACGAAAACACGTCCACAAGTCCATAGGGTACTAGCCTGAGTCTGTTATCAACTAAGACGGCAGTCATGAATATTTTATGACCAAACTCTTAGCTGAGGTTTTGTCGGAACTTCTGACGACGGAACTAAAGTGGCAATATTACCAGATAATACCAGTTCAAATCACTGTAAAGCGACCATTACCCGTTGAGCAGTAAGTTTTCTTTTTTTTCTCTTAATTATTTACCGATCCAGTGCGATGTATTCATCGTTGCACCAATTGACCACTGTAGAAAATACCATAAGATACCATAATGTTCTTTGTTCGTCACTCCAAAATTTTGCATAACTATTGTTTTCTGTTTCTCTTGTGGCCATTTTAACTCCCAAGAGAAACTGAAGACAATGCTTATGCAAAATTTTGAGGTGACAAACAAAGAGCATTATGGTATGTTATGGCATTTTCTGTAGTGGTCAATTTTTCAGTTTGCCTCTAATTAGATACATTGTTAATGAGGGTTTAGCCAAGATTGCCACAGAGCAGTTTACTAACAACGATTTCATAACAGCAATTGCTATAAATTAATGGTAGGAAAGCAATAATTTTATTGTTTTTTTTAACTGCCGTTTCTTTGCCGCGATTTCAGTCAGACACAGTCATATTTTTAAGATTTATCACCAAATAACGCACGCGGTTTTCTTGGCATCGTCCGGAAAAATTAGAGGACAGATTTGGTTGTGTTTTGAAAAGGCAACCTGCGCTTCTGTGACACTTGAATTATTTGATGCGGTTGAAGAAAAGTTATTTTCTCTGTTGGTGTCAGCGCTATTAACAAAACAATGTTGTTATCGTACGTCTTATACAACGAAATTTGGAAAACAGCTCGTCTCCAGCTGTTGGACCTGCGGGAAGATCTAGCTTTCCCCACAGACTGAAGTCATCCAAAATTCCTCTTTCCGACGCTTACTTCAACGATACTTTTGAAACTGCCGCCACATACAATCATCATTATACTTATGATATAAAGCTGTTCGTGCACTGATGGCGTAGTAATGCAGATAATGTATAATGTATTAGCAAAACATACTTTGTGATATAGTTTGCTAACTCAAACGTGTGAGGCCTTCCAAATTTATCATGACCTTGATGAATAGTAAACAAGGAAATAAGTTATCTTTGCCCTCTAACAGCCATGTGAGCATGACAGCTACCATCAAGATCCCACAGGTCCAGAAACTCGTTTACCTTCACTTGAAGAGGGGGGCGTAAGGGTTTGCGGTGATGCGGTTTTGCGGTAATTTTTATTTTAACTCACGGTATTGCGGTTTCAAAACACTTAGCGGTTTGCGGTTATTACAACCTTTAAGTCAGGGTTAGCTCGTACAGCCGTACAGCCTCGTGTTCTCTTTGATTCAATGCGATAAAAGGGGGTGGTAGGCCTACACGACTTTTACCTGATGCCAAAATGCGGCTTATTCCAATAAAGTTGTTTTTATCTACTGGGTAGATTATGCTCTGGAAGGTTCTGCATTTTACTGAGCAAATGTGGTTTCAGCCGCATGTTTCACACTGAGAGGTCATGCCATATATATCGATTGACTGTAGTTATTGTTTTCTGGTCGGCAGGATTTGCCCTCTGATGCAAGCGCATTTTCTTTGACCTCTTTTGAAGCGTAAAGCTTTTTTATTACGGCTGAATAAGGGTTCCAATTTTCTCCAAAGTGCCTTATGGATCTGATCTAAGCGATTTTCGTTAGTCCGTGAGTGAATTGTTTTTCTGCAATGCTGTATCACGCTGGGCCCAGCTTGTCAGTTTTCTTCGCAGAATGTTAAATTATCACGGATAGTGACTTACAGATCCAAAATTATAAGAATGAACTGCAGCTTAAACTGAAGCTACATAAACTTACTATAAAGAATTGAATTGTGACTCAGTAAACTCCAGCTTAGTGTTTTTCTAAAGATAGTGTGAGTCTTTTGACTGGAGCGCGTAGTTCCTCCCTTGGTAATAGCTTTGAATAAGCTGAACAGTCTTTAAACTGTTTTGTTATTGCCACAGTTTGTGATCAGGCAAGACCATGGTTTCGGTTCTCCTCACGAACCTCATCAGTTGCCGGGTTGGCTTTGTGCTTAGGTGCTTTTACAAGAGCAACTTTAGTTGTACTTTGTCGTGGCGAGAACGGTACAGCCGTTCTGTCTGTTGAGCTTTGAACTGAACATAAATACCCACGTGGCGGATCGAAATTCTTGTTTTCTTATTGGCTACTGAACGTAACCAATTGCGAACTGTGTATTTCGATCCTCTTCTGCTTCAAGCTAGAGGTGTGTTTTTTTGGAAAGCATTTCGTGAAAATTTAGGCACTTTCTTTCATGGAGGAGTTCGAAGACTCTTGTAAATAAATGCGCACAGAGTTTCCGTACACTCCCTTTAACGGTGTATTTTTAACCCTGAAATGCAGAACTCTTGCCTTAAAACATCTGTATGGTGATCGCGCGGCAGCCATTTTTTGGAAAATGGCTAGCTGTTACTAAGGTTTCCAAATATGGTAAAAGTGAATATTCACGAGCATTGAACGCGAGTTACACGTTTCAACCCCTTATGAGTTTCTGATAGAGTATAATAGTGTAGTACAATACTATATCGTTAGCGTTATGATGGTATGTTTAATACTAACGCGGGATGTTATCAGAATATATCATAAGTCTTGCTGACGTCAGCTTTCATATTGTGGCCTACATCTACGCGCGGTTTCGGAATTCGGGAAAAAATCCGATGCGGTTTGCGGTTTTTTGGCGCATTTCTTTGCGGTTTTGCGGTTTTCGGACCCCCCTTACGCCCCCCTCCTTGAAGTTATCTTTCTTTTCGTAAGAATTTTAGCCAAGAGGCTTAACAGGGAGATAACGCGTCTGGCCCGCCGTTTCACGCTCCCGGCGTCGAGGGTATACACAGCTAGATCTGGAAGGGTATTTGACCGAAATTCAGCGCGGGATTGGGGAAAACGGACAATTTCTTGACCGGATAAGGGATTTGATCCTTACTACTCGGGAAGCGTTATTTGCCAAAATCTTGAAATGGGATGCGGAAAGGAAACGGTCTTCGGTATAGAAATGACAGAAGTTCTGAATGCGATGTAGATTATCGTGAAAAAAGTAGCGTCAAATGCGGAATCAAGCTCCCCTTCCAGACCCAGTTTACAAAGACCAACATCACCAATCCCGGCGATGTGGAAAGTGTCTCCAATTAGTTTTGTGTCACAGAGTAATCAGTTCTTGGAACTGTAAGTGGAATTGTCACTCTCATAACCGTGACGTTAGTCTGGTTAGTTAATACTTATAGCGTTTCGCTGCAGAAAGAAAGCGCAGACAAAACAATGACAGCTGTTTTATTTGTTATGATGATGAGGAGGAGGATTATTGTTTGTTTGTTTTTTCTTTTTTATCAGAAAAAGAGAAAGAGAACGGAGTAAAATCATCGGCTTGCATTTCTCAAGGATGTTATAGTTTTTCTTTTAAGTTCATCATCCCAGACAAGTATCTTCCCACATCGTTCGAAGGTCGCCACGGTAACATACGCTACTGGGTTCGCGCAGTGATCGATAGAGGTCTTGGTAAGAGTAACGTGAAGACGAAGCCAGCACCTTTTATGATAGGCGATTACGTAGCTCTGGAGGACTTTGAAAATGTCTCGGTAAGGAGAGTTCATTTCTTTAGCAACTTTTTCTGTGTTCCTTCCCGTTGATATAAACGAAGGTTGTTCGGACAGCAGTGGATGGATATTTCATATTTGCCCACGGATCTTACCTCTACCATTGTTTTTAAAACCGTTTATCTAGTTTTCACCTAGTTTTTCTAAGGCCCTGGTAAAGGTATGTTATACCTAACTGAAAAATTTGGGCCCATGCTCCCAACCCATGAGAAATCAACAACCCAACAACTTGTGGGGCAATGGGGTTGGGGGTGAAGTACTCCAACAAAAGGGAAGTGTCACTAAGCTAGTCACTAGTGCAGCCGGAAAAGGGGGATCAGAACCCTGACTTCTCTCCAGGGGTGTAGGTCATAATCCCTGAGAGAGGTTCCTACTCCTCTTGAGGGCTGCAATCGTAATACCAAGAAAAAGGTCCTTATTCCTCTCAAGGGGTCACAATCCACTGAAAGAGGTCCTTAGTCAGGAGTCGCAATCCCCCACTCCTCTCCAGCTCCGGGGTC